GGGAGTGTGCTGAGGACGGTGGAAGGAGGAGGTGATAAACTCCAGGAAATGTAGGACCCAGGTCTCCTTCTTGACTTTCCCAAAGGAATAAAATCTTTGGAGCTATGTGGAAGCACTTAAGGATTCCTCAAGTGGATCCTTCAGTCTGGGACTTGCCTGTCTTTAAGTCCCAGATTGAAGAATCCAGCTGAGGAAATCTGACTCTGAGCATTCATATCTGAACTGGCTTGTTTTCTTCTTTAGTTTCCATTTATATTGTGAGTTTGGCTTGTTCTTGAATCTCTGCAGAGCACTTAGAAAAGTTAGGGGAAGTGAGATAACAATAACAGGCAACAAATTTAGTTTGTAAGTGAAATATCATCATCAACAACAGTAATAATAATAGATCATGATCATAACATGGGCTCGAGTCTTGGTCCTGGCTGTCCTGCTTGAAACCACCAAGGAGAACTGACCCAGTTGAACCATGCTTCATGCATATGGAAGTAACATATCAGGGATAATGTTGGTCTAGAACAGTGTATCTCAACCTTGGCCACTTTAAGAGGGGTGGACTGCAACTCCCAGAATTCCCCAGCCAGCCATGTTGGCTGGGGAATTCTGGGAGTTGAAGTCCACCCCTCTTAAAGTGGCCAAAGTTGAGAAACACTGCTTTGTCTAACATTACAGGTTCTTTGATCACCTGTTCTTTGGTCACCTGTTCAGATCAATTCTGGGAACTGAAGTCCACACATGCTGGCTGGGGAATTCTGGGAGTTGAAGTCCACCCCTCTCAAAGTGGCCAAGGTTGAGATACCCTCTCTAGAGCAGAGGTGGGGAACCTGTGGCCTTCTGGGTATTCCTGTACTATATTTCCCAGCATCTTTTCCCCCTTTCTTATTTCCCTCCCTCCTCAAAGTAGAAAGCTAGCATCCCAGAAGGAAGAAAACTTGTTTTCTAAAAGCGGGGCTGCGGGTTGAGCTGGACTGATCCCGAAGCAAGTGTCTACCTAAACCTCCATGTACGGGTTGCGTCTTTCCTCTCCCTCCAGGTTCCAAGGAATCTCTCTTCTCCTTGACCATCACAGCCAGCGAGGAAGCCATGACGGTTCTGGAGGAAGTTATCATGTACACCTTTCAGCAGTGCGTTTACTACATCTCCAAGGTACGTCAACCCAAGCTGGCTCCAGGGAGCAAGGGGAGTGGGGGTTTGGCTGAGGTTTGGCCACTGGATCCTCCTCCCCAGCTAAATAGTTGGCTAAAACAGAACAGTGTGTATTGCAAGGAGAAAACTGCCCACGTTTGATGCTAGCTTTCTCCCTGCAAGTGAGTAGAGGAATGCCCGCAATCTAGAGGAGTTTTGGAAAACGGTGATTCTCTTGTTTGGTCTGAAGAGACCACAGTCACCTCTGTTGTGAGTGGAGAACCCAGCTTAGCCTTGATTTTTCACTAGCTTGAGCAGAAGCGGAAAAGAAATGGTTTAACCCCACCACCACCACCACCAACCGGGCCCATGGATAAGGGCTTTAACCAACAGGGAGTTCATTTTTGATCTCCCCAAGATAATTAAATTTGTCTATTTTGGGGGCATTTCCCAGTTGTATCTTTTCTTCTCTTTGCGACTTGAGGACTCTCTCGCCTCGTTCCACTTCAAAAGTTGATTCTAGTGCATCTCGCTACATTTCCAGCCTTTTGCTTCTTGCAGTTGCTCCCCTCCTCTTTTCATCTGCACATCAACCTTGTGAAGTAGGCCTGGCAGAAGATGGTAAGCCGCCCAGATGGCTGGCTGGAAGGAGGAACAAAATCCAAGCCTCATTTCACTCAAATTCAGCAGTGTTTAATCCAGCGATTGGAGAACTGGGCTTAGTGGTTAAAATGTTTTTAATCGACGTTTCCTTTTAAAGAGCACCCCAAGCAGCTAACAAAAATAACTCAAAGCAAGAGTTTACGAAGTGCCATCTCTGTTTAAAACAAGATTTTAAAAAATTACACTCTATGGACTTAAAAGACAATACTCTGCAGCTGGCGAAGACCGGGAACGATAGGTCTGCAGGCTCTAGTTCTCTGCATGTTGCAAGCTAGCATGTCAGGGAAAGGATGCTAAGAGTTTGCTGGGCACGGGGAACTGGGGAGGGTCTGGGAAAACAATCTCCAGCTCATTCCAAAAACCAGCTCGTTTTGGGGAACGTATAGACTAGATCGGCATGGATAGCGCAGCTGGAGAAGAGAGGAGGAGGAGAACTTCTCGGTCCACCGATGACAGTTGGGTTGCACGGACGGCTGCCCTGTGCCCAGAGAAGCGTGAAAGTGAAAGGGTGAAAGCGCCACTGCCCGCGTGGCTGTGCTCCCCCCAGCTGAACTAGCCATGCCGTCCTAAC